TGGAGTCAGTTATTCCGCGGCACCTTCTTTCTAGCACTTTTGCGTACGCTTAATACGGGAGGATTACTAAGGTAATATCCTAATATTCTTTAGCTAGCTATAATCTCCCATCCCGAACAGGGGCGCTAATATTCCAGCTGGCTGCAATCACTGCAGTTTGATATACACATGTTTGCCACAACATGCCCCATTTGTTTAAGCATTAAACAGCTCAGGGCGAATTTCATCAATTCCATTTGCCTTGCCATTTTGCAAGGGTTTTACCGCCTCTGTAACTTCGTCTACTTAAGCAGCCAATATCTGTTTCCTAATGCTCTACAGGCTAGTCCTCCTGTGGTTGCTCAGGTAACTCTCTCCATCGCCATGTTCTTATTCCCGGTAAGGTGTAGAAACCTGCCCTTTAAGGCTCTTAGGCTGCCTTTCTTTTCACATTAAAGGAGGGGAGTGTGCAAGAATACTTTATTTACTGACCTGGAAGCGCAGACCCACAACAGGGTCAAAGCTTTAGCCTCTAATAACATCGGCCGAGTTGCGACAGCTCCGCTGATATTTTCTATTTAAGGTTTCTGCCAGAAAAGTGTGGTTGCATCAGTGACCACGGACGTGAGCTCGGGTCAAGGAGTCGACACACCTGAATACTTACAGTCATTATGCTGTAATATATCGAGTGAAATGGGAATTAAACCTGCAGCTTTCTCACTGCACATCCGAAATAAGGCCGTAATAATTTCATTTAAGACCTCATGCATATCATACGACTTCTGTTTTGTAGAAGCTTGATCAGATATGGTTAGTATAAAACTGTCTTGAAACCATTTGACATCTTTTCCTTCTTGCAATGTTGATTACAGTCTTTCTCCGTTATTGCATACCCCTTCTCACTTTCAGTGATGTAATTTTGCTGAAGAAGCTGAACTGAACAAGATTCGTAGAAGTTATTTACAAAGCAACACTTTTGTTGTTGCCGAAACACAATAAAACCTTCTGGTTTCTATCATGCACGCTTTCCTTTTACTGTTCCTTGTAACTGAGCGTTGCGAGCTTCTTTTTAATTGTACCCTGTTACATCAACCGCTTTCTCTGAGAAGCTGTTTCCCGACGGAACATCAAGCAACGTGTAGTAAACAAGCTAAGGTAATATACTGCTCATTAACGAATCGTATTGACACCGCTTTTCAGGTGATACATCGAAGATCAACACTATGACCTGTTTCATTCATTAGGAAAATTCGGGTCGTATCTCTGTGTAGACATTCGCTAGGACGGGACGTTTCAACTGCTGCTTAACTTCCTGTCCAAGTCAATACGTTACCGTCGAGGGTGGTAATCCGTCCATACAGAGATACAACAGTGCATACCGACATAGACCAAAACTGATATACGACTTAGTCTAAGCTGGTAATACAAAAGTCATAGAATATTATTACTAAGGCTACGTCAGTACCCAAGCATGGGCAGTGCTGTATGCATATTTAAGTTTATGCCAAGGCTCTGATATAGGCTAAACCTTAGGGAGTAACGCGACAAAAATACATATTACGACTCCGGACTGAAAAACAGATCTTTAGTTCATACCGGTAGGAACTGAAAACAGAATTCACTCAAGTCTATACCGCTACGGAATAGTCCATACCGGTATCGACGGATTACCACTTTGGATAGTAATAGATACATAAGCCAGCCAAACTTCAATCTGCGAAAAAAGCGCCCCTACGAGAGATCGTGCTTGTTTGCATCATGAAGTACCGTGAAACGTAGGGAAACTTGTCGCCACCTGACAGAACTCCGATAAACTGTTTATGTCGCATTGTGTTATTAAGCTATTTTATGCCTATTTAGTTTAGGGGAAATCCAACAGCCAATAAAATCATTCATCAAGCCCCACATCACTCGAACATAAGTTTTTCACAGACAGGACAACAGTACCTGTTAATTTTCAAAAAACGTTCAAAGATATAGCTATTTTAAAAATCCCGTCAGTTTTGTAACCGGTCATTTATTCCAGTATGTCAGAGTGGCTACGTTGGTTAGGGCGTCGATTCAGTTGTAAAATCGTGAATTCTGATCCGAGTGGCGATAGTGAATTTCATTATTTCGAAGCAGATGTATGAGTACAACTTCGTGGGAAAGAAACGGGAAACTACACGCTATGCTTGCCACTAAACGAGAGATACTGGTTTAAAATTATTGCCAGTACAGCTATGACATCAAAACAATGGTCTACACTGTGAGCCTCATAAAAGAGGGCTGACTCTGCAGATGTGAACAAAACTCTAGAATTCTACTGAAATTTAAGCATTTATGTAATCGTTTAGCCAGCCTTAAATACAATGTTTGAGTTCAAGTGGCGAAAAATAGTGATCAAAGAAAAGAACCGCATTAAAGGGGAGGTACGACCGACAGTGCTTCTCACATGCCTTAGTACTCGTCATAACCTCTGAAACGTCTGCTAACAGGGCAATGACAATGGCAAATCGGCAGATCTTCTCTGCCATTCGGGTTTCGTCCAGGCGAATGACACTGTGCCTATTCAGGATGGAAGGACTGAAAGATATCACCCGCAGCAATTCCCAAAGAAACATGACAAAAGTTTCTTAAACATGACGATCATTCTTGGATTACCGAGATGCAAAACATGGAAGATGCTTGAGGGATGACATATGATATAAAAAATTTGAAAAATTATCTTTCGCACCGTTCTGATACTTAAGATCTGAAAATTCCAGCACCATAATATTGTTGAAGCTTGCATATTAAGGAAGACATCCATCTAAATGGGAAACAGATTTTGACATCTGTCAGGGGGCCTACTAGTTGAAATCTGAAATGAAGGCGATTCTTTCGACTTCACAGGGTTTTTAGATTCAAACCGAGCAGTAGACACTGAAATCCTCTAACGGTCGGTCGGCATTCATACAATATGTGACGACTTAAGCGTGTGCAGAACTCTGGGTGAAACCAGCTGTAAAACATTTGACTTCCGTTTCAGTTCAAAAGATATCAACATATGCTATGCGTTTACACTGCATTGCAGTGCATCAATATCGTTTGATCAACAGCGTTTGCAGTGCGACTCCTGTTTAGACTTAGTAGCTAATGTTGGGCAAACAACAGTATCGTATTCGATTATAACGGAAGTTCGCTTCTCGTGTTTCACAGAAGTGCACGGATCAGTAGCAAGCTAACGATCTGACAGTAGTTTAAAAAAGGGACCTTGGCAAAATAAAAAGAGGAAACCGTCTCCACCAGTTTTGAGTTTCGACGCCTTCAACAGGAAAACTGATACTTATGCATCTAATATCGTCCACCATTACTGACCAAAGTGACCCAGCTAAGGAAACCTATATCCGACTTACAACCTGCTGTAAGAAAATGGGCTGAAAGAATAGTACGATTTCAGAAATAAACAGACTGTTGAGGATGTTTAGGAATGAGATCCCAATTCAAAAGGAAAAGTACAATCTTCCTCTTTCGTTTATGACAAAGCTCCCTCGAATAAGCAAAAAGCAACTGCACTAAGCAACTGTACTAGCTTTAAAAGTTCGGAAGCGTTACAGATCAATCTTTTGTTTCCATAAAAGGGAAAAGAACATGTGCTTGTAACCGTTGGAATGTCGATTTTCCATACACTTTCATGGTGGGACCATTTCTGACACCACTCCTTTCGTGAAGTTAATGGTGGAGCGCTGATCTCCGTTTCCATGTCATTAGCCAGAAATTCTTTGTATTAAAGGTACAGTCGACAGCTGTTACATGGCAAGCACACTGTGTAGTCTCCTGTTGCCTTCCTGTAGAGTGGTACTCACTTACCAGCCTATGAAGGAAACACAAGCGAGTGATCCGAGCATAGCTAGAACCAGAAACCTCCCGTTTCTTAGCTCTACTGACTGAGCAACCCTGATTTGAAGTAATGTGTGGTAAATTCGTTGCCAACGGTAATTCGTGGTTAAGGCAAAGGTTGCTTCTCCATTGGAATCGAACCCGGCGCCTCTGAAGTCCGAAGTC